TCTGTTTCAACTTTTCATAATTTCAAATGCAATTTCATGGCGTAAGGTATAGGGCATTTAATAATTAAATAAAGTAAGCGCGCCAAGATTTAGCTTTTTCCATCCTTTAGTTTGCCGAAAAATAATTTTATAGTAATAATAAGTTTACACGCGAATAATAATCATTGTAGAAGTTTAGCTATTTGTTGATGAATTTAGAGAAAAATCTTAATTATCACTAAATTATCCTGTAGTTTGATTCACTTGTGATGAATATACCTTGAGAAAATATGAGAAAAGGTAGGGAGAAGAAAAGTCATTGACGCTGGTAAATTGAGGCATTGAGTGCTTTAAAAAGAGCTTTATTGTTCGTCCTCATAATAATTTCCCATTTGTTCAAGTAGTAGTACGACTGCTATACAACATAGCTCGTTGTCCAAGAATAATTGTCAACAATCAGAAATTCAAATCCTTACCTTCATATTTCTATGCACTTTGGACTTTAATAAAATCACTGCCTTTGGCTCAAATTTAATGATTCTTTTGCAGAAATTCTATGAGAGTGATCGTAGTAATTCAATGGAAACGAAATGACGAGAAAAAAAGTGTATCTTCTTTTTTTTTGTTCATTGACTGTATTACTACCAAAGATTTGTACTAAGTAAAATGACTCACTTTGATATGATTTTATTAACTGTTGACAAACCTATAACTACCATTTCGGGAAAAGTTTTCCAGCAAAGACTAAACTTCCTTTTTGCAGATTAATTTTTATTTAAATTTTGAAAAAAAAAGAGACTGAATATGACTAAATGAGCTGGTACATCTCCTAATAGGGAAATGCATTAAGGTGCCCTGGATTAAGAAAATTCTTCAACGATCACTATTTTTATTTACAGAACAGGTTTGAGGCAATGTAAAAAATTGCTTTCAAGTTGATTAGCGCTTTTCCCGTAATTCTATAATCGTACCCCGTACAAAAAGAAGAAAAACTGGAGAACATTGAGAGAATATAATTTTTATCTTCGAAAATGATGCAGCATCATGAGATCCAAAAAGAACGAAAAGTGGACTTTACATATGGGCAACATATGTTATAGACGAACAAAATCCCATTGAGATGTGCTCCGCCAGATGTTACACCGAGTTCTAGCACAAAGTTTTTTTTAAAGAAACCTCAAAGAAAACCTCCGACGATCAAAAATTGAGCTTAGAAAAATAAGAAAATGTTGTTCTTGACGTGGAAGAAAGAAGAGAACGATGGAAACACTGCATAATGGATTGTTTTGAACGAAATTTTGAAATGGGTGAGTGTGCTGCAGTCGACCAAGATTACACACAGCTTTGACCAGAAGCTAAGCCAGCGGCACCCTATGGAACAACTGACAACAAATCTAAGGCCACGCCTGACTTTAACTCTCAATAATCGCTTCTTCGCTTTGAATTTTTAACTTTCAGATTAGGGCCGAAGATTTGGTTGCACTTTCAAGGTTGTGGGGGTACCAATGAGTCCTACAGGTTTGACCTAAACTAGATACAGGTAGTTCC